AACCCTAAACCCTAAACCCTTTGTGCGACGCCTGATTTGGGCGCGGCTGCTGTCGTCAGACATCGGTCATTTGCTTTATTCACCTTGATGCTGCACTCTGGTCCACTGGCGGGAGGTTCTCCTAAACCAAAATCCCCAGAGACTCCAATATCCCNNGGATCCTACTATAATTTAAGGAAGATTCCTTAATTAAGGGATATTGGAGTCTCTGGGTCCCTAAACCTCAAGTTCGTAAACCCTGAATGCCTGAACCCTAAGCCTTAAGTGTGTAATACGCCCAGAACCACGAGCCCCGCTGAACCCTAAACCCTAAACGGCTTTAGCAGAATCGATCTAGAGTCCAGGTGCTTCTCACGATGAAGACTTTGCTGACCGAGGCCGTTGATCCCTTTTGTCAGGGTGCAGGCTTTTGAGAGTTCAGGGTTGAGGGTCTAGGGTTCAGGATCGGGATCTGTTGATTCTTTGAGACTTGGCGTTTGAGGTTTGAGTTTGGGTTTTCGTGTCTTGCTTTGGGGTGAAGGGCTGAGGATCGAAGTCCAGTTTGGCCAAGGCATCAGCGGTTTCCGGTGCTTTGTTGCGGTGGTGCTCTTCACGTTAGGAATCTGAAGGCAGACTGGGACCCGTAATTCTGAGCATTAGCACAGTAAACATCGAAGCAGCAATAACTAGCACACATTAGCACTATAATTCCTTCGGGAAGCATGCTGTAGTATACCCGAAAATGAGGTTCTAGTGAGTTCTAATAATTAAGGCCTCTGTCTCACTTGTTAATATTGCCCCCCAAACGGTTTCCGTCGTTTGTTTACTGTACGGTGTCAAAGCACCACGTCCGAGTCTGATTGGTTCGGCCTCGAGATTCAAAGCCACAGAGCCTGCCGAGCCTGAAGACCCGAAGCCCTAAATCTAGGACATTTTCAGGTGGGTAGTTACCGTTACAGGAGCCTTATAGAAGGTCTATATGCCTTAATAGAAGCCCTACAGACCCTAGACTCCCCACCTGTCGTTTCCTTTAGCTAAAGCCTTAAACAGTGACACCCTGTAGACTGGATCTTCGGATGGAAACAGGAGCTCAACAAAAAGAAACAGCGAGACCCCTAAACCCTAAACCCTAAACCCTAAACCCTAAACCCTAAACCCTAAACCCTAAACAGTGACACCCCTAAACCCCTAAACCCTAAACCCTAGAACCCTAAGCCCCCAAAAAGCAGTGACACCAGATGACTCCCAAGCCCATAAGCTCTCGAGGCCTGGACCATGAGGCTTAAAGCTCCTCATCCCACCTCCTGACACTTCAAAGCCCTAAACCCTAGAGCCCCAAACGTAAAACCCGTAAAGTAGCCCTTATAATAGTACATCCGCAAAGGAATCTTTTTAAAACAGACACAAGAAAAAGCTCCAAATGTGCTCCGAAGGAAGTTCTGAAGGTGCCCAAGGGCGCCCTCGGCCGCAGTGAGAGGGGGGGGAGGGCGGGGTTGGCTTTTTGAATTTCATGGGAGGAGGGCCTGTGTCAGGAGTTTAGGGGGTTTTCAGGACTTAGGGTTTCTATATGGGTAGTTCTCTAAACTCGGGCCCCATTTTAGGTCACCAATATAGTACGGCACCATTAAAAAAAGGACCCTAAAGGGGACCCTAATTTAGAGAGCTACCCATATAGGTTCCTGTAAGGGTTCATGGTGTCTACAATGGCTTCCTAAAGCAGTTCCCTCAGGGAGAGTGAGTTAATCGAGTCAAGTTCAGGGGAAGAGCCGGTGATTTGGGGTCATGGATGCTTAGTTTCAAGAGTGGCAGCCTAAAGTAGCAGTAGCAGTCGTCGTCGTCGGAGCTTCAAGAATTAGCAATGTGATTCCTCTATGGTTCTCTAGTGCTCATGGTGCAACATCTCGCTTTTGAGCTCTTTCGATCGATGCAGCCTTCTAGTCAGTACATGAGCAAATCGTTGATAAGGGTTCCCAGCAGTGCAGCCGAAGCTGAAATTCGACCTCAAGCACTCTTCGAGGCGGTGTGGGAGGGTTGAGAGCTCAGGTATTAACATCAAGATCAAGTCCAAGGTTGTGGAGGCATGGGATGCCGCAACATCTCCTGCCATGTACCGACAAGAGCCGTCAGAAGTAAAGCACAAGAAGAGACACCGGAACATATCCCGCCATCTTGGGTTTCGAACTTGGCTAGCTTTTGCAGAAGACCCAGCCACCTCGCGCAAACGGATGCCAGTAACAAGAAGGATGCACAAAGCCTCCAGAGAAAATGCTCCGCTAGCATGCGAGCTGTGGCACTTCCCGGTTATTCCCAGAGCGCCCAATGCCCCTTAAATAAGGAATATACCTTAGATCATAGTAAGGCCCCTATAATTTAAGGTATATTGCTTAATTAAGGGGGTATTGGGCTCTCTGGGTCTGTGGAGTTGACTCGAGGGTCTCTGCAAAGCAGCGCAGGGTTCGAAGGGTGTGACATGCGCAGGTGAAGGGCAAGCACGGTGAACTCAAGCGTGACTTCAAGCACTTGCCCATTGAGCTGTTCCTGTCCGACGGCGGCAAGAAGGCCAAGGGCTTCCCGGTTTAGGGTTTAGGGTTTAGGGTTTAGGGCTTCCAACCCTAATCCCCTAAACCCCTAAACCCCTAAACCCCTAAACCCCAAGAACCCCAAGACCCCGACACCCCGAAACCCCGACACCCCTACCCCTAAACCCTTAAACCCCTAAACCCCAAGAACCCCTCAACCTCCAAACCCCGAAGCTCCTAAACCCCCAAACCCCGAATCCCCTAAGCCCCAAAGCCCCAAAACCCCAAAACCCCTAAACCCCTAAACCCTAAACCCTAAACCCTTTCAGGATGCAGGGTTTAGGACGCCAGAGCTCAAAAGCAAATACTAGGGTTTAGGGTTTAAGGTTTAGGGTTTAGGGTTTAGGGCTT